TTGGTACGTGTACTTCTTTCGGGCGTAGGACGGATGGTATTGAAAATGGGCAAAATCGGACAATAACCACGCCTACCTCCCATATAACGGTAGTTTTCAGAAATACAAAAACTGCGATATTTTAGTAACTACTGAAGATAATTCACTCAAAATTGATATTTATAATACATTTTAGACGAAAAATAAGAATATTAACATTTTTTTGAAAATGGGCGTAGCCACGCCCACTTATGGTTACATGTGTATATCTTGGTAACCGCTGCACCAATTTCTTCCTAACTTGGCACAGTTTTTGGCCCTGATACAGCATACTAAATGGCCGAAAATTTTTAAAATCGGACAATAACCACGCCCACATCCCATATAACGGTAATTTCGAGAAATACGAAATCCTCGATAAATCAGTAAATATTAAAGCTAATTTCTGCAAAATGATGGTTGCAACAATTCTTTGCCAGGAAATACGTTTATGATAAAATTTTGGAAAATGGGCGTGGCACCGCGCACTTATGATCACGTATATGTATCTCGCTAACCGTTCTAGCAATTTGTACCAAACTCGGTATGGTTATTGTGCTTTCCACATAAAAGTAAACCATTGAAAATTGTTGAAATCGGACTAAAATTACGGCCGCTTTTCATATAACGGTAAATTTCAGAAATGCTTGAAATTTCAATATTTTGAAATTTAAGGACGCTAGTTTACTTAAAATTTATACACGCCGGCTTATCATGTAGCGGTAGCTTTCGGAAAGGTAGAAAACATATATTTAATACTTGCGCCGGGTATTTAAAGTTCGGCTCCGCCCGAACTTAGACTTTCTTACTTGTTATTATGCAAATATAAAAATATGTCGTTGTGTTAAATTATTCTTTACCTTATGTGTGCACACGTTGTCACAAGCGAAAATTAAGAAAATTGCAGTAAAAAGCCACCACCAAATTTTAAACAACGAACAAATGTATACAAACGGCTAATGTCAAAGTCGCCCAACTTTTTTCCTAAATGCGATTATAACGGGCTACTAAGAAGAAGGCGTGATCTTGTATTTTTGGTTCATGCACGTGTCGACATCGCAGCAAGAAATGTTGTTTTTTGTTGTCGAAAATGCCCATTCATTAATGCGCAAATAAACAAGTTAAAAAATAAGAAGTTTCAAGATGTGGTAGTTTTTTAGCTTACGGTAGTAGAAGTAGTAGAAATATAATTTAGCAAAAAAAAATTTTATCTATTCCACAAATGTGGTGCGGTCCGAGCACTGGCTGTTGAGCACGACTTCGCTGCTTCGCACACAAGCACATGTGTGTGATAGTGTGAGTTTGCTCACCTCTGCTTTACAACATTTGATGTGGAATCAGTGCTGCCACGACCACATTTGTTTCCTACCAAAATGTCCTACCAAAACCGACCAAAACCTACCTGTTTGTTCTAAGAAGAAGTAAAGCTCTTTGGAAGGTGCCATTTTACAAATATTGGATGGAGCAGACAATCATTCCTCAAGATGTATCAGTCTGCTGTTGATGATACGTGGGGTTTCCTCCACCATCCCAATTCAAATGGTATCTTAAAAGCCTGATTATGGCAACTTAACTTAACTTAACGGAACGTAGAACTTAGAGAATCAAAATGAAACAGATTTCGGCGTGGCATTAAGTTACGTTAAGTTTCGGCTGTTCAATTATAAGCAACACCCATTTAACAGAATTTTTAAGAGAGAGCCTTAAGTTAAGTTAAGTTTGCCATAATCAGGCTTTAACTTGCAGTGTCTTGTCAGGGAACCAGCAAGAGTTCTAAGACCCTCCCTTCTAAGTTAAGGAGTTTTTCGTTCCTCTTGGAAGGAGTTATAGATCTCTTTGATTGTCTTATTTGCTGTGATACTCCCTAGTAGGCCGCAATCTGAGATTCTTCCCAGCTCCTAAGTAGCTCTGCAGTGTATGCTTTAGATGCACCTCAGACGAGCTCGAAACCATGCATGTGCATTTGGGCTCCACGCTTTGCGAGACAGTCAGACCTTTCGTTGCTTTCATGTCCCGGAACCCACCAGAGCATTACACTATTGTAGGTGCTTCAAAACAGTTTTTCAGCTGTCCACCAGGATTGGTGCCATTTGAAAAGAGTGTTGGGCCTTTAACGCTGCCTGACTATTCGACATAATATTTATTCAGTCCCCATTTGTCCTTCTATGAAGACATTCGCGAACACATATTTCGACTTCGAAAACTTCCTCCTGGAATATGGTATATGTCCGTCGTATACCATACTTCGGACTCTTGGTCAATCTTAGTATTATCGCTTTCCAGTAGCCCCTTTCAGGAATTCTGACCTTATAGGGTTTGTAGAAGGATAACCACGGTAGCATAATGTCCGTAAACTTGATAGCGGGATCATCCAGGAATGGCTTGAGAACCTCTAAATGACCCCGAAGTACTCCAGTTTTCATGCTGATAATATTAGACAGCCAAAGGCTCACCAAGCCAGTGCCGCGTATGTAACAACGGGTTTTACTAACGTATTGAAAGAGCACACCAGTTTCGGTACAACTTTGTAGTTCAGTTCAATTTAAATTAACTTGTAGGCACATAAGGTGTTTATGGATGTTTGTTTTCGTTGTTTTATGGCCGACGGCGCGTAGGTAACTGGCTGAGTCAGCTGGAGTCGTTAGATCGAATCCCACTAAAAGAAGTCTGATGAGGAAATGTGGTGATTTCCAAAATAGCTATCACTTCTACCTTTTTTTTTTTTAAATACGGTTGCTCTTCCACAATAATTTTTCATTAAAAACGGCCCAAGCTCAATAAAAATTTTTGAATATAATTGTTATAAGGCCATAAAATAACAAAAAAAAATTACTTAAGGACGAGCACATCTAAAAGTTAAACATTATAAAAATAGAATTATTAACAAAAAACCAACAAAACCAACAAAACCACCAACCACATGATCAAGTTTAAATAGCACTGGGATAGCTACGCTTGATTTTAGTTGGCTTCACAAATGAAAAAGTGGAAAAAGGCAACAAGAATTTGCAAGGCGAACTTAGCGCAGTGCGTAGGAAACTGGCCGAGTCCGCTGGGGTCGTTGGATCGTATCCCACTGAAAGAAGTCTGATGAGGAAATGTGGTGATTTTCGAAATAGCTATCACTTCTACCATTTTTTCAAAAATATTGTTGCTTTTCCACAATAATTTTTCAAGCTCAATATATAAATAAATTCAAGCCTCAAGCTCAATAAAATTTGTTGAATGTATTTATGGATGTTCATAATGTATATTGGCAATAATATAGGTATACGTTTTCACTTACGAATCAGATACATTTATATGTTTATGGTCGCCCTTATACGAATGCACCGGTGAAACAAGTTTGCTAAAATGTTCGGAGATACATATTTTCTACACGGTTAAAAATTTCGGTTTTAATTTTAAACTTTTTAGACTACATATATGACCAAACTAAATTTAGTTTCAAATACAAACCTTCCAAGTTTAAAAGAGAGCACATATGTTGGGTTTAGAATTTAAACAGTTCGGTTTAAATTTTAAATCCAAACATTTTCTATTTCGTTTGCTTCACGCTACACTTCACGAAAGCTTTTTCATAATTAAGAATAAAAAAAATCTTAAATTTGGACCCGGACAGCCATGGTAGCAGCCAATTGTATTAGGCATATTGATGCAAACATTTTCTATTTCGGTTTAGATTTTAAACCAAATTTTCTATATATGAAACCTAGGAACTCGAATTAAATCATTTTGGTTTGATTTTTAAACCACGAGCTTTTTGGTTTTAATTTTGAACCACTCATAGCAAAACAACATTTTCTAGGTTGCCTCGACTAAAATTAAAACCAGAATATATTAAAAATTGCCTAAAACTATTGAGTGGTTTAAAAAGTAGACTATAAAAGATTAGAAAAAAAGCAGTAGTCCCAGCGCGGTTCAAAAATTAAACCCAAATTTTTGAACGTGTATTTTTCGCAAATGACTATTATTGTCGCGAAACCTACCAAAATCCAACCTAGCCTACCAACCCACCAAATGTAAAAAAAACCCACCAGTTTTAGTAGGAAAAGCATATGTGTGGCAACACTGTGTGGGATCTTTATAATAACGAGAACGGGAATAAACGAGAGCGTCGAAAATTCTTAGTGCAAGTCCTTAAGTACAAAGCTGATTACCATGATGCAATAATACAAGGTGGTATCAATTATGACAGCTCGATTTGACACTGCCTTAGCTCAGTAGAACGAGAAGAAAAACGGGAAGAAATTACGCCCCATTTGGGGTAAAAATATAAAATTTCAAATTTTTTCCTAAACAAAATTTGCTTTTGTATAGTATATTCGTAATGAAATGAAATAAAATAAGATAAAATACCTTTTTAAGAAAAAAAAATGCGTATACTGAGAAAAATTAAAAAAATATTCAACTATATTATTAGACAAAGAATTGTTAAAGAACTAACACTGTCTCACCTAAGGCAGTCAATATGGCGGAATTAGAGCGAGAAGTTGCCAACCGATAACACCTTGTATTATTGCATCATGGCTGATTACAACGCATTTAGACACTCGACCTAAGAGCTTGCGTGTATTTGTATACTTCGTTCCCAAAAAGTGATGTCAAAATTTAGAATCATTTAAGTGTTTTCTATCAATAGTAAAAGTCCTTTCATACATTTTCATTTCGTATGTACACCTTATAAGAGGCCTATTTGTCCATAAATACATTCTAAAATTATAAACTAACAAACGAGGCCACATATGATGTCAGCCTACGCAATATCACGCTATAATAAGAAAAATCTGCCATTTAATTAACATGGGCCTACTTAGGCCCAGTGGGTTAACTTAGCGCCTCCTAGAGTGCTGCCCATCCTCGGGTTAAATATGTTTTTGTATCTACATATATTTATGTAAATACATACATAAATATTTTCCTCAGCCCTTCGTTGAATATCCACGGGTGAAAAATATTTCATTTGTAATCTTCTTACTTACCTGTGTCGCATCCTCCAGTATTAACTGTTCCAAAAGAGCCTTCAGTGAGACATGTGTACTCTCCTCTAACCACACCACCCACTTGGTATGCTCGTCTAGCAGTTTGGAGCGCACCAAAGGCATCGTACTCTTTATCACCCAATAGCTTGGAAAATTGAATATTTCATGTAGTATATGAACGGTGATGACGTAGTTAGTGTTGGCCAATTGGCTTTCGGCTTGGTTAATAATGTCATCGCGTAGACGTGCTGCTAATGGACGATGATACGTGGTGTCTTGGCTGGATATGAGGAACAATACTCCAGTGGACTCTATGTATGTAGAACGTAATTCGCAGGTGTCATGAAATATTAGATCGGAAATGTGGATTTGAAAAACTATGTACGTATGTAAGTACGGTTATTTACAAAGTTATGTCAAATATATGTTTATACATTAGACTGCGCCATATTAGTATGGAGAAAATTTTTTGTTAAGCTACAAAGCAAGACTTCCTAGAAATTTTTCTTTGATCTTAAAAACTTGCCCCGCGAAAAATGTGCCTCAAAGGTCCCAAAGTTGACCATATTCATGAAATTTTTTACAAAGTGGTCAAAATTGCTTTTAAGTTAGCGCGCAATTTAATATGTTTTACTGTAAAATGTGTACATATCCTTAAATTTTCAAGATTTACTATATTTTTCTCCTAAAATCACAGTTCTCATTATTTTGAAAAGCAGAACAGTTTTTTTGGGAAGTAGCAAAGCCAAAAGTTGAATTACATTTAGTAAAAAACTTAAGCTAAATGTGTGAATTTATCGTATTTTCAGTGTCGTAATTTAACTTACTTAATGTTGCTAACTTAGGGCATTTTTACTTTTCCAAATCTGAAATGTCAAATTTGCAAGTGTCAAGTCTACATTTATTACTTTAATACTTTAACTTAAAGAAATAATAATATATAATATAAAAAAAAAAAACTTTCTAATATACAACGCTTTTATAAATGGACTAAAAAGTAGAAAATAATATTTCTCAGTCCCATAGATTTGTTTTGATAACTTTTGATTTTGAAATTTTAGCAAAAGTCGTTATAACCAATTTATGAGATTGAAAATGAAAAGCGTGGGCGCATATAATAGCCACCTGAATTGATATGAAGGGTAATATATGTTCATATGTATGTGGATATATGAATAACGACCGCTTAAAATCGATCTCAGATTTGTACTTTCGCTGAAGAAATTTTAGGTCTATGCTATGTAGTTTGCCTATTGTCAATTAAATATAATGCTTTGTATTGCATTCGCCCCACGCTTTTCATTTATACAAGCGTTGTATATTAAAAGTTTTTTTTATATTATTTATTTTCTACTTTTTTGTCTTGTCTGTATAAAATTTTGCGATAGATATTAAAATAATTCAACGATATTAATAGAAAGGTGCACACACATGCATTTACATATGTATGTACATACAAACGAGCACCAATTAATTTTATTTAAAGAAATCTACCTCGCCCTATTCACTACAGATGTCGCCCTATGCACTAGACTTTTTTACAGGAACTTTGCAAAGCAAAGGTTTTATGGTGTCGGACACACAACATTGAAAGTTTCTGGATCCACAACATTGAAAGTTTCTGGAGCCACAACATTGCAAGTTGATAAAAGCGTTGTAATAAAAAGAAAAAATGGAACAAGTTTATTTTTGCTCAATTACGACGAAAGTCGAAATAGAGGTATTACCTAGGGATGGGTAGTGGGGGTTGAAAATCGATTTTTTCGGAATTTAAAATATTGTCCAACCAATCGATTATTCGATTTGAAAATTGGTGTTACAAATTCGATTTATTTCGATTTATTCGAATTTTGAAAAAAAAATGTTTACTGAAAATTTAAAAGTTTGTTTCTAACAATGACAACCGAAAAACCAAACGCAAAAAGAGCTGGTATACGAGAAATATTTGATGAAGAATGTAGAAATACATAATTCAGAACATGCAAAACATGTTTCGTTTCCAAAAATAAAGCGAACACTATTGAATGGACACTATTAATTTCAAAGCTAATAAGATATTGCCGCCATTACACTTTGTGCAGATTGCTACTTGTAATGGTTTAGGAAGCCCGCTTCTCCATAAATTTTTGTATTATATTTAGTAAAGCATTAAAGAACCATTTTTCCCAATTTTTCTTTCGGGCCCTATGCGGGCTAAAGAAGACACACTTTTTGTAACTGCTTCGCTTTACCAT